GGTTTTAGCTTTTTTCTGGCACGAATAATGACAAGAGTACTGCTTCGTGGACTATACTGTTATTGTTTTAGTGAAGCCTCACGAACATATAGATAGAGTTCCTCTTTGTTAATTACCGCTCCTTTTGAAGTTCAAATTTTTTAATCATAGGCCACTAGGTTATGGACAGATGTATGCACGCCCACACTTTACCGCGTAACTTGATAGGCCTCGGTTTTCATGCAACTAAGAAGACATGCGTCACGCGTGCCGCCTCAGTAAATTATCAGTGGTTGCTTAGTTCAAATTTCCTGTCAAGTGCCTAATAACAAATTTCCTAAACGGAGTGGTTGACGAGTGTACGGATGTTGAAATACGAATATCACCTTTAAGACAGTTGAAAATTCCAGTGAACGTCGTTGTCTTACCGCCGTGAATTTATTTCATAAAGGAGAAACTGCCTCCCACGATCGAAAGAATGTGTTTGATAAAGATGCCATTATAATTTTTAATGCTTGCACCTCTACAACAAAACATTTTACATAACAAACACCTGTACCGCATGATACGAATGTCATCTGATCCTACCGAGAAACCGTGAGTTTACTCTATTTGGCGTTCATCGCACTAAGTTATCAAATTCTAACGTTACTTAGAATTAACAGAAAACCTCTCTGCAAATCAAATGGTATCCCAAGGTGGATTATTTTTGTTTCTTTTTTTAAAAAAATGCCTACAGACTGAATTTCAGTCCTAGGTAATCTTGAAAAGTAACGTTTTTCACATTTATCTCAATTTGTATCAAAGTTTCTTTTACAGAGCGAAGAAAAAACATCTCTGTTTGTTGTCCAGAGAATTTGAACTCCCCTGTTTTGCATCTCTTTACTAGGTTCTTCAATTAAATTAAAGAAGCAGGTGATTAATAATTTGTGACTATTTTTCTCACCGTAACTCTACACATGATGCTTTCGGAGGAACTTATTAAGTTATCTCTATAACCGCGGGAACATTTAAGATTAAAATCATATAACCAATTTCGACAAGGAAGTAATTGTAGCTTAGTTGGTAATTGAGCTTAATTGTTAGCGTAAATGGAGCAGAGAATTTAAACGCAACAACGGCTCCAGGAGGGTTTGATATTGTGTTTGAAAAACAGGAGAAATTCTCTTTTTTTTTTTTTTAATCTTTCTTCAGAATGAGACACGCAGGACCGCTCGTGCGTTTTAAATATGAATATGTTTGTTGAAGTAACTTTTTCCCGCCCTTCTCCTCGCGCGTGTAATACCCCACGCGTCTCGCATTCCCTCCGCTGGCCTGAGACACGCAAAAGAAAAAACAAACACGACTTCTGTTTGATGAGCTTCTCGAATTTTCAGAGAAGAAACATGTCTTTCGTTGCCCAACGATCGAGCCTAAAAATCATTTACCAGATTTCCTTACTGTGACCAGGTCCTCCATATTTCAGTGTTAGTTATCTTAATCACATGCATGTTATTGCAAATGTTCGATAAAACTTTACTACTAGTAGTTGGAGATCTAAAAAGTGTTCATGTAAAGGAACTTCGGTTAATATCAATGTGGAGGAAATGAAAGGCTGCTGTTTTCACAAACTTACTTTCAGAATAACGAAAAGAAAAGGAAAAATACACACTTACCAGAGCAACCATGGCAAAGTTGAAATACGACTCCAGATAAAAAGCAGAGGAAAGAGGCTGCAGTCAAGATATCAAGCTCAAACTTTTTCAGAGGATGCATGGTTCAAAATATACCTGCGAGGGTAGTCGATTAAAAATTAACAATAAACCAATTGAACTCAATAAAACTGCGACAAAGTCAGATATAAAAATGTTTATCAAACTTCACTCCATGGACAGAATTCTTGCTGTTTTGAACAGTAATTGAAGTCTGTACAGTTTTGTCTATCTTAAGAGTCTTTTGAAAATGATGAATTATTCGTTCTTATTATAAGTAAATAAACGATCTTAGCAGGTGCAATTAAACCGGGCCCAGAGATGAGTAAACTATTTTAGCTGATAACTTAAGTACCGACAAAACAATATACATTAACGGAATAATTAACTCTCTCAATCCTGAGATCTCCGACCTGGTTTTCCCTTTTTTTGTTACCATATTTCTTTGTTGGCTAGTGCTGAGAACTTAGGGTTGAGTTCATTCAGGCAATATCTCATTGTTTCTTTTTCATTTTTTCATGCAGTAATTCTTTACCTATCGACTCTAGCTATAGAGTGTGTTGAAATTTTAAGAAAAGCCTTGAGTAGCGATCATTCTGTGAGTAAAAGGTATACAGAATTTCAAACCCAGTCAATAATTTTTGAAACTTTTTGTTTAAATTCGCGATTTACCTCCGTATGGGTATTCAAGACATCAGAGACGAACAAATTTTCAAAACACAATGGCTTTTAGTTTAATTCATTTCAATAAAAGACAGAAAAGATGCTAATTACTTAAATTTCCATAACAGGTCATTAACTAAAGGGGATGTTGCCAGGTCTTGGCATCGTTCGTAAGAGTCTTATCATCCTGCAATTGAAATAAACTAAAGTTGGATAAAACAAGGTGAATACACATGAAGCAATTTAACCTCCGGATCAGAATTTCAAAAGTTTAACCTGTTTGTAAACTAAGAGTCCTTACAGTTCCTAATTTACATTCCATTTCTTAAAAATTTCGCTGCTTCCATTATTTGGCGAATTATAAAACTACAGTTTCACTCCGGCTTTTCTGTGACCGACCTACTAAGCTTAAGGGGGGTAATCAAACTCAAACACAACTCAGGCTCGTAAGATATTCGCTGATACGAGGGGTTAAAGCTTAAAACTTCGGCTTTAGAAAGTTTCGGCCAATTTGCACCTTTATAAACTAATGTACTCGGTTGATAAAACCAAAATATCTTCTTTTGCCCCCTCAGACGCAGTTTCTTTAGATACTTATCCCTTTATTTATTACTCGTAAAATATAATTTTGTGTTTATAATCAAAGCAAAACAGGAACGATGGGAGAAAAAAGTAAATCTTATTTATTCGTTTTGTCTCTGTCTTATTTTGTTCACACTTTCGACATTGCTTGGCGCAGCTGAATACAGGACGCACGTCTCGTGTGGACTTTGTAATTACTAATAGCTTTTTGTTTTGTCTCTGTGGCTCAGTGGTAGACCATCGGAGTGCGAAATGCGATAGTTTGATGTTCGAGTCCTCATAAAAACTCCAAATATTTTTATCCTCGCGAGGCAAGACTAATGAACATCTTCTACAACCCGGCTTTCAAATTGATCGAACTTCTTTTTATTTTTTCCTTTGCTTCTAATCATTCTCGACTCATGTTCAACTATATGCGCAGTTATGCGCAGTGCGGTTGGTCAGTACAAAATAACTCAGCGTCATGTTGCTTTCTCCTCATATTATAGAATCATTTTGCCTACTTTTGCTGTAATCTATATATATTCTCCTTTATCAGGGATTAACAAAGCATTTATTTATTCCTTTTTTGTTTTCTTTTACCAGTAAATTACAGTGCCCCATCACAATCTTTGCGTTACCTTTAAGACGCCTACTTTAAAAGAGGATAACGAGAAATTAGTTAATTTATTCACCCAATTTCAAAATAAGACTTCAATTATTTCTTTACTTATTCTATCGGGGAGGAGCGAAGACCTGTCATGAGAGAGAGGCTAAGCCTCATTTCGTCTCCCTTTCGTGATGAAAGAGAGGAACTGAGAACAAGTTATTTAATTCAACATGGCGGCGAAAGATTGGAGGAACGTGGAAGGAATTGTGTCCGGATACAGCACAACCGTTGAAAAACGTCTTCGATGGCTGCTTTCAAAATAGAGAAATAGAGGAATGAATATCAAGCTCATACGCACAGCCCACATGTTGCGCACTCAGGGTCGAGGTAAGCTTCAGTTTCTCATAAACCGCCTTGTTGCTCCCTCAAGTTAAACCATCCATTTAGTGGACCTAGTTAAAGATTATTTCCACAATCAATAAAAATATTTTTTATCAGAACCAACTTTGCTCAGCCTGGTTTGAATGGATACTTCTCCAAATGACAAACTTAGTTCAAAATTTATTTCCTCAGGAAACATTCTTTAACAGAAGCAAGGTACCATTCATTCAAATATATTCAATATATAATGCAATTTTTATTTTAATGGAACTCTTGTTATTGACAGTCTGACTTTGCTTTTATTTACTAACGTTTTTCTCACTCAAGGCATAAGATATGCCATTAGTGCTACAGAAATGTTATTTTTTCTCTTTTCAAAATGTTAAATTTCATTTCTTGGCAGAAACAAATGTTGGTTAGGTGGAACTGTGTATCAATCTTAAGCAGGGGTCTATTTCATAATTTAAGTCACAATATGTCAATACCATGGCTCAATTATTGCACTATACCTTCTATATCCTGAAATGAATGGATGGTGACAATTGATGAAATACCAGAATTTCCCTCTTTCTGAATTCCCTTTTTGTGCAGGGTGAATTTGCTTCTTTATCACACATGACATTTGTGAAGGTAACGGTGTTGTCATGGTAACCAGCTTTATCATTGGTAGCAAGTGAAATTTAGAGTATCACACATTTCTTTGGAGTGGATCCCTTAAATCTCTGGGTTGAATAATAGAATGAGAAGCACTCCAATTACCCTAGAAATGTTAAAGACATAGGAAATTTCTATTTTCTACACACACAATTGAGTGAATTCTGAACTACAGACATCTTTGAAGAGTGTGAGAGAGTTGGTTTTCATCCTTGAAAACATTTTCCTTGTCATTCATCATTCCTTGAAGAGTTCATATCATGAGGTTGCACCTCAAGTCTCTTTTTTTTTGCCACTTTATCATATCTATTTATACTTATTTACCATTATTCATTTTTTTCAGAACAGGAATGGTGATCAGTCTCAAATTCAGCTTTCTCAGGACACATTAGAGACCTTTTCTTGAGACTCACAGGAATGCATGAATCTATGCATATATTGCATATTGCATATTGCACATCTGCTCATATTGCATAGTTTTTTTGTGATTCTGGCTCATTATGTGAGGTGAGTTTCTTGGGAGAGTTCTTGATTGAAATGTCAAGACTAATCAGTGACAGATTGCCTGAACTCATTCAAATTGACATTTGTAGGTATGCTGGTTGGATGTGAATTTAATCTTGAATTGAACATATTTTTTTTCAAAATTGTGTCATTTACTTAACTGAAATATATGTATACAATGAAGAGAACAGATCATGTCGGCATTTGAATACAAATAAGTTTGTGTTCATGGCTCACTTGTTTTCCTTGCTTTGTTAGAGACTACAATCAACACTCGAAGCTTGAACTTTTATCCACTTCACCATGTAGTAATTTCTTTGAATCACAGATTTTGTTACTTTCATTAATTGAAAGAAGAAAGATATAGCTTAGTTTGAAATCCTTTCTTCTTTCTAATTGTTTCTTTCCTTTTTTTTCAGTTACTTATAAGTTATGCCTACATAGGAAGAGGACTTCATTTGATGATGGGCAGCTAACAGCTGGCATTCTCAGTTATGAAATATTATCAGGTGAGACTCAACTGAGTAACAATGGCTATTGGGCCAGTGAGATAAATAATTGATAAGTGGATAAATCAATTAAGTTCAAATGGAAATCTCATTTTTCTTTTTTTCCTTTTTTTTTTTGAGGAGCATATTATTCCAAAAATTGCTAAAGAGAAATGGAATTGATCTCATGAAAAATGGAGGTACACTGACTTTTGATGGGAATTTGATGATTGTACAACCTATTGTTCAATATATGGGTAGAAATTATATACTTGTAATATCCACCAGCAAGGTTTAAAATTGTCTCAAAAGAATGTTTACTTAACAATAACAGAGGTGCAACTCAACTCAGCTGTATGAACAACCTTTCATGCAGAAAATGTATTCTTATAAGGTGGTGCAACATCACAAGTAGGTAACAAAGAGCTAAGTCAGCTTATAAGTCAGATTGCCCATTCTGCCAGAGCACAGCCAGGTTGCCTTAGCACTCTGTCAGAGCTTTCCTTGACATTTTCCCTGTACTCTTTTTATTCATCCTGGATGTAAAGTGAAAGTAAAGTGTCTTTTCTAAGATAATATCACACCCACAACTGACCCAGAGTTCTGGGCACCTGACCACCAAACCACTGTTTCTCTCACCAAGCATGTTTATTATTTTTAATGATTGTGAGTAGATGAATACTATTTATAATAGTGAACTGCAGATTAATAACACCATGTTTTATTTTACCATTAAAGATCTATTACAAGGATTAATTGAAGAAAATATTGATAAAAGGGTTCTCTGGTAGAAGGGGAATTATAAGCTTTCTTGAGTTGGTCCACTGTTGTAAGTTAATGGAAATACCTGATTTACTTAACTGTGAGCTGAGTATGACTTTTAAATGCAGAAACCCTAAACTTGAGAGCCCTGAAGATAGGCTGAAGCTTTTCTCTCTCAGGAAACATGTCATGGTTGCTGAATGAATTGACACGGTTATATAGATATTCCAAAGTTAATTGAAACAATCAGCAAATCAGCTGTGCTTAATTGTTTAAGTGGGTTTTCTGAGGAAAATGACGGACTTTCTGCTTGGTCAACTTGACCAATAGACTGGTTTGCCAAGGGTACGCCATAAACTGACTGGCTGAATGGCAGAAACACTTTAAAACTAACTGGCTGACTGAGTGACTGGCTTACTGACTGAGTTAAAGTTTGACTGACTGGCTACGTGTCTCAGAGGCTAGGTGTTCGGACCAATATGACAGCTATAAAATTGCTATTCACGATGCCATCACATCTCCAAAGACTGAGAATTTAGTTTTCATGAGTTGAGTTTCGAGGAGCCTGGAAATGTGATTACATATATTCGTGTTACCCATTAATTAATGTTATGTTTTTTTTTTTTTTTGTTTAAATGTTTTCGGTTGTTTGTTTGTTTGTTTTTCGATAGTTTCCATGTTGTTGCATGTAATATCTTAATTCGAGGTCATCTCATCTGTGTTAGCTCTTTTCTTTGGTGTGTCATGATTCCATGTCTTTTCTGTAGATGAGAGTTGTGAGTTTAGAGGTTTTGATGTCCTTCTATCTCGGATTTTTTCAGATTTTGGAAGGAAGTGAAGGGGAAGGAAATAGACTCAAGATCACTTTCACGTCAAAAGCAGGCATCTAAATTAAAGAAAGGAAGGAGGGCCGGGTATGGTTTTGTTTACTGTGACTGGGATTTGATTGAAATTCGATTTAATACAGACTAAAAGGTGTCATTACGTTCCCTATTTCCAAAATGAATGTTTGTAGTCACAATTTACTTCAACCTAACGAACAAGGGCGGACCAGTGTCTACATTTGCCACATACAGATTTCGTTTTCCCGGTTAGACTGATTGTGAAAAAATTGTTTAGAAAGTAATTTTACATTTGTCTTAAGAAGTTTGGGAGTGGCTCGAATTCTTTATCGTCGTGAATGACATCCGACTTCCCATTCAGCTTTTATGTGGAGGTGTCGTCGACTTCCAAGAAGATGCGTTCACAATTTGCCGTCGGGGTTCCTGCTGACCTATAAGCGTGCTGATTCAATTCTTTTGTTTCATCACGTTATCGTTTCCATCGCCTTCTTGGTTTACATAGATTTCTATTTTATGATGCTGGCAAACGATGTACAGTTGTTAATTGTTTTCTGGTTGCCGCTGTTGTAAAATTATTGTTATTATTATTGTTGCTTTTTTCAGTATAATTGATGTGTTATTGTTGAACGTCGAGAACAGAAATCGTTGTTATTTCTTTAGCTCTTCTAGTTTTTTTTTTTTAATATTTCTGTGTTGTTAATTAATCTTAAACAGTACACTTGAACTGATAATTTATTGATTTATTGCCAGTTACATATGATGGAGAAAATAGATTCATTTTTTTCTGTATGTTGTAAAGTTTCCTTCAGATTGTAAAGGAAGGAAAGAAGAAAATAAAAGGTCCAAGAAACTATTAGCGTGGAAAGGGAGAGATTTGCTAGCATTCCAAACTATCGCGTTCAGGACTCGTGTTCCCAAGGTGATTAAATATATTTGTGTTATGTAGTTTACTTCAGATTGCCAGAGAAAAATAAAAAACCCGCCAAAAGTATTTTCATTAAAGGGAGTGCTGCGTCGGTCGAAGAGTATAGCAGGTAAGTTAGTGTAAACAACTGAGTTGAAAACGTAAATTGGCCACCGTAAAGAGTAAAAAAGCTGACGTTTCGAGCGATAGCCCTTTGTCAATCGCTCTGACGAAGGGCCATCGCTCGAAACGTCAGCTTTTTTACTCTTTACGTAGGCCAATTTACGTTTTCAACTCAGTTGTTAACACTAAATTTAAAGTATTTCCAGTTTATCTTGGAAAACTTGAGCATTTACTCCGATATCTTTGACGATCTTGGTATTAAGTTTTTTTACACTTGTACAGTTAAGTGAAACTGGTTTTGTACAGTGTTCTTATTTAGTGACATGATGTGTTTATGATTGTAGAACTAAGATTGATGGAGAATATGATTTAATGCAAGATTGCAGCCGTCTTTCACTTGTGAAATTTTGCTTTTGGTGGATGAGCTGCTTTGGGGAAGATCTGACTTTTTATCTCTTTTTTCAAGGGTAAGAGGCAATCTGCCGCAGAAATAATATATTGCTCATTCACCCTGAAAACGGTAGGTAGTTACTTGATCTTTTGATTTAGTTAAAAAGAAATGCCTCAAAGTCAATCCTTTAGGTTTGGTCTGAAAATATTTTTAATTTCATCTCTAAATGTGTCGATTCTTTAGTTGCTTCTCAAATATTTTAGATTATCTAAAAAAAATTGACATGACAAAGAAAGTGTCAGAACTGCCAAGATATTTCTTTATTTCCAACTTGACTGATTGGTTTAAGTTTTTATCTGGTGGCCTTGAAAATTTCATTTTCAATTGTTGCTCAAGTGTAAAAAAAATTATTTAACCGAAACTAGAGGTCTAAAAATGTTATCGTTTCGTTTTGCTGGTCTGTAAGAAGCCAGGAAGTTAGAGTTAAAAGTTCAGATTTGATGAGTTTTCTTGTTGTGGTATAGTTGAACGGAAACTTGTACATTTCTTGTTATGATGGTCCATAAATGGTCTGACAATTTTATGTATATGATTATCGTTTACGTTTCCTCTTTCAGCTGCCTTAAAGATCATAGGTGTAGAAGATCAAGAGAGACGAGATTACCTTTTATTCTGGTGAGTGTAGCTTTGTTGTTCATTTAAACGGAAACTTGTTTGTAATATTCATGTGAGCGTTTGATGGTAATTTGTCAGGAAACATTTTTGTTGTCCTTGTGGTGAAGGTTTATGCATGCGGATACAGTGTATTTTCTGAATTGAACATGTTTCCAAGTCCTTGAGTGCCCTAGTTAAACAGAAGCTTGTGGGGGTTTGTTTTTTGGCGGGAAAAGTTCGTTTGTCATCCTTTTGGTAAAAGTCTGACAAAGTATGAAGGCAGGTAACGTTCTTTAGCTCAAATTCTTGGTCTTAATTTCATTTCCCAATTTTGCAGGTTTCTTCCACCACCCGAAGCTGATACCAAGGAACACGATCACCTTAAGAATTAGACCAGTGACAAATATCAATCTTGAAAACAAAACAAAATTGGATCGACTCCCAATTCAGAGAATAAAATGAAAAATTGGGGGTCGATCCGTCCACCATCCCCCACCACACCCCCTTCTATTAGAAAGTTTATAACACTTATCTACCCGTCCACCACCTCTCCCCATACCCGCCACATTTGGTCAGTTTTCATAACTCTTGTTACAAGTCATCTTCCTTATGGTACAAACAACTTTTAATACACTAGCACTACAGTAAATTATTACTGTACAATATTTTAATATCTATTACAATGGTAATATTACAATCTTGTTCTTACAATCATATAATACAGTAATATTACAATTATTTGATACAGTTTTTTTTTGTTCTTGGTTTCTTGAGATGGCTATCCTTCATGAAATCTATGTAAAGAGAACCTCGAATGAGCAACATTGAAACACTGGGATAAAAATATGACATCACTGCGCATGTCTTTTTAACTGAAACCCATAAACGAGAGTTCTTACAACATAAATAAAAGAAATGGGTTTATTCGTTTCTCTCGACTATTCCACGCGGCAACACTTTTGCGAAAATCAAAGGAACCTTTAAAACAGAATTACAACTATACGTTGAACTGTAATAACACTTACCATCAGTCTACCATGAAATTGTTAATAAAGTTGTAATCTTCGTGTTACCTGAAAGACGAAAAATACACAAAACTCATAAAACGATACTCTATGGTACTGACAATTTTTGCTGATGTTAACCTTTTTAAAACATTAAACAACAATTGTACTTTCTCAATTATAGAGACTACATTGTTAAAACCACATAAGATAAGCAAATTTTTAATGAACAAAGAAATGTATTTTAGAAGAAGTTTGAAGTGTGGTGTCCCTGATTAATTTCACGAGTTGCAGAGCGAAGTAAAGCAGGCAGAGGAGCGTAGGACGCACAGCCGGCCGGTGAAACAGGCTGTTTTACGGTACAAAATAGCCAACTGTCCAAATCTATGAACGGATGGCGCGAGATGGCGCGAAAATATGCACGTATGTTAGTCCGCGGACATTATCTGTTCCAAAATGACGGAATTTATTTTCAACAGTTTACATTTTGAAAAAACAAACTAAATTTGAGAAAGCTTGAATCGTGAAATCTGATGCCGTACTTTCATGCTTGATGAAATCGCGAAACTATAATCCCGCAAAATACTGTCTCGCCAAAATCGCGAAATTAAGTACCCACGAAATTAAGTACGAATGAGGTTGTTTCCTATAAGAAATCGAATTAAATTGACGCAACTGTTCTCGAGAGCGGGAGGTGGTTCAAGGGCTTTAAACCACTAGTGAGATAGATTAAGCCTGCGCAAGCCTTGATTACTTTGGAAACCTGGCAATAAAAATTGCTCTACTTTAAAGAATAATAAAAAAAGTAATTTCTACTAATTTTAATCAGGCACGTCAACCGTGTTCTTTACTGTCCAGTGCATAGATAATTGAATCCAGGAACAGAAACAAGAAAATAAAATCTCATTATTCAATCTTTACGGTAACTTTCAAATTGCATGATACTTTGTTGAATGCAATCATAATCCTACAGTTTACATGCATTTTTTTAATTTGGCAAAGTGAGTGGGGCTGTGCTATATCAATCAAAGAGAATTCCTCACTGAGACCACATGACTTGCTTAGTCTCCATGGGCTGGGAAAAATATTCACCAGCCCATATAAGAATTGAAGTCCAGTGCCTGAAATAGCTATTTACCTTTTTATTGAGGACCCAATCTTTGCATCTCAGGAGATTTGGTGGGTGAAACTGACTCCTTTGTGGGTAACCTTTTAACTACCCATCTCTTGTAAACAGTTCAAGATCCCTTCAGTTTCTGAAACAATCTTAACTCTCTTCTCCTTGTTTTTTGGTGGACCTAGACTCCGACACAGTTCAAGATTCATTCAGCACAGCAAGACAGTCCAGTTTCCAAAATCAGATCAAGGCTGAGGAAGAGACTTTATGGGTGAGGCTGACTCCATTACAGGTCAGCTATTGGTCACCTATCTCTTACACACAATTCAAGATCCATTTTGCACAGCGACACAGTTCAGTTTCGAAAACAGTTTTCACACTCCTCTCTTTGCTTTTTGGTGGACCAAGTCTTAGCATCACAGATCAAGGCTGAGGAAGAGACTTTATGGGTGAAGCTGACTCCAAAGCAGGTCAGCTGTTAGTCATCCGTCTCTTATTCACAGTTCAAGATCCATTCAGCACAGCAAGACAGTCCAGTTTCCAAAACAGTTTTCACACTCTTCTCTTTGTTTTTTGGTGGACCAAGTCTTGGCACCCCAGATCAAGGCTGAGGAAGAGACTTTATGGGTGAAGCTGACTCCAAAGCAGGTCAGCTGTTAGTCATCCATCTCTTATACACAGTTCAAGATCCATTCAGTGCAGCAAGACAGTTCAGTTTCAAAAACAATTTTCACTCTCTTCTCTTTGTTTTTTGGTGGACCAAGTCTTAGCATCACAGATCAAGGCTGAGGAAGAGACTTTATGGGTGAAGCTGACTCCAAAGCAGGTCAGCTGTTGGTCACCCATCTCTTATACACAGTTCAAGATCCATTCAGCACAGCAAGACAGTCCAGTTTCCAAAACAGTTTTCAAACTCTCCTCTCTTTTATTTTAAGGGACCAAGTCTTACCATCTTAGCCTTCAATGCTTACATTTTGTAATCACCTCTTTCTCAAAGGGGTCAGAAATACCTGCAAAATAAAGAGAAATAGAAAGAAATTGAAGTTCAGACAAGTTAAGATGTTCTAAATTCTTGAGTTAAAGGACTTCTCTGGCAAACCCAAGAATTGAGCTTCTATGTGGTCACTTGGGGTCCCTTGTGTCATTTATACATGTGCCTTGTGTCATTTATACAAAGTTTTGTTGCTGTACCTGAAAATTGGCTGCAAATGCTCCATTTCCATTTTCCTACTTGGAACTCATCTGCAAAAGAAGCTTAAGAATATTGCTTTTCAACTAAAAAAATTAATGTTATATTAACCAATAGCAGCTAAATGTATCTTACTTGTACCTTGTAACCCTTGTAATTCAATCTTAACAATCAACATCATGTCATAAACATTTTGGTGCTATCAATAAATTTTAAAGAATTACTATTCACCAAAGTGGCATTAAATTGAAAACTTAAAGATGCTATATTTAAAATATACTATGAAAGCATTAAAGAATATCATAGCTTGACCACAGTTCAGCTTGGATAGTCTCCTTTTTCTTATGTCACCTTCTAAGCTGAAATTTTTTCCTCAAATAATCTCTTAACAAATGATTTTAACCCAAAACCTATCAAGAAATGTGCAATATTCTTGGTCTATTCTGATATTTTACACTCACCTTTTTTAATGTTTTATGGGATGTTAAAATACATTAATCCATCGAAGGAACATCTGAGTTACTGTCAATCATGCCTGTGAGGGGAATTATGACAATCACAAATCTTGTTTTATCTTTACCTGACTGTCTCACGTTGTCTCCATTTAAGAGCTTTCCAACTGCTTTTCAGGCACACTTTCCATATAAGCACCATCAAACAGTAGATAACATACGCGAGATCTGTGAAGAGCCACTTTCGCTCTTGTTGTGGTACCAGAATTGGCAGTTCAATCCTCATCAACTTACAATGCGACTCAAAAAGGCCGCCATGTTGTGGTTACTTTCTTCTAGATCCCAGTGTTTTTCGTTTGTGACGAAAATTGCGTCATGCTACACGCGCAAATGCGCCGGAATATATAGTTTTGATCTGTCAACAAGTTGAAAACCTTTCGTAATAGGTGCCATTCTATTACTGCACGTGCCTTCTGTTGTGTACTTGAAGAGTAATGCACTAAAAAGGCAATGTGTTTTAAAATGCAGAGGGGTTAATTTAACATCTCTTATCGATGCCAAAATTGCGACAAAAGGGCTAGATTAGATGAGTGTTTGTACACCGGTCAATATTGACAGATTGGGGACAGGGCAGAAGATTAATAGAATACGCACATGTAATATATATGCATCCAATGTATTTTCATTCAAAACTTTGCCGATTCGTACGTTCTGCGTACCTAGCGTAAAGGATTGAGTCCGAAGCTTTAAGGTTCGAACCCTGGCTACGTCCAACTTTTTTTGCATTTCTTTTTCTCTTCTTTTCTTTTCTCTTTCCCTTTTCCTATACGGGCCAAACTGGACAAACTAGCTATAGCCTTGCCGACTGAACGACGGACGAAAAGCCAATTTACTACAAAACTGACCAATAACTTTTACAAAGAGATCTTGTAACGTTCAACTAAAAATCAATTGTTCACTCGTCTCTGACGACTTCGGCTCAGGCCAATCGCCATTTTCGATAACAAACCCTTTCAGGACTGCTCTCACTCGGACGATCGTACTTCACGATTGACAACTGACTGATACCAAGTGAAAGAAAGACTGGGCCAAAAACATATTAATTTAATAAAAAACTCATTATCGCCGTGAACTGAATTAATTTGAAAATTTTGGAACTCTGATTCGAAAAGGGAAGCATTTGTTTTTCATACACGAAGCAACAATTCAGTACAGTGCCATCTTAGAATATATACTTTACTTTGTGTCATCAAAAAAACTCTAATACCTGATCATTAGCTCTTTCGAGAAAGTGTTGTTGAAGTTGAATTTACCGCTATATTAACCAGTTTAAATTGACTTCAGAATAAAGGGGGCAAGTTTCTAAAGAAACTGTGGTGCTGCGTCGGTAGGAGAGTATAGCAGGTAATTTAGTGTTAACAACTGAGTTGAAAACGTAAATTGGCCACCGTTAAGGGTAAAAAAGCTGACGTTTCGAGTGTTAGCCCTTCGTCAGAGCGATCGGATACCCAGATTACCTTTCGAAATTGTCGCGTGCACTTTGTCCTTTTTGCAAAAGGTAATTTTGACCGGTAAATAATGAATAAGTCTACTAGCGAAGATTTGTGGCTATAACAGATCATAATTGTCTCAGACATAAAAAAAAATTACTTTCTTATTTGCTCATCACAATTTTAACATTTTTTCTATTAAAACAGAATTAATTTATTTTTCCACTCGAACGTTGGAATCGTAAATGTAAATCAGACAAGATCAGAAAATTTGATAGTTCACCAAATCAGAACAGTTATCGTGTTTTCTTGTTTAACGCTTTTACGTATATTGATGACGAGTTTCATGGACTATTAAAAACATATTGGTTATTTTGGAATTGAAATTTGTACAGAAAGCGTCTTGATTTTACAAAACCGAAGTAAGTCATTTGTTGTAGATTTGAGATTTCAGATTTTCGCCTGCTTCAATTTCATTGAA